CTTCTTTGTAGCAAGCCTGCATGCAACGTTTCTCTCTGTGCGTGCATGCATTTCTCTGGCAGCTTGTGGGAGTCACCATGCAATGGACAGCTTACATCTTAAAGATGTGGGAAGATACAGTGTAAATGCACCCTCATGTGTGTAATTCTGCTCCTATCACATACATTATTACTCACTTCTGCTTTTCTGCCACCACTGGCTGCATATATATCAGTTATTTCCTGACACTCTTCTGCTATCTGAGTTCCATATCGCCACTGCCTCCTCTTGATGATGACAGGATGGAAATCGGGTTAGAGAGCGTGGTGGTGTATTAGGCTGAAGGTGTTTTACACTCCCCCTCACCCCTTAACCAGCAAAAGGGCATTAATATCCATTTGTGTAAGTCAGTGTTTCTCAACCTTATCAACTTTAAGATACATGGACTTCAACTCCCAGAATTCCCCATGCTTGCTGGGGAATTCTGGAAGTTGAAGTCCATACATCTTAAAGTTGCTGAGGTACTAGTGTAAAGGACAGTTTGGGAATTCCTTTCACAGTAGATGAGGTAGGCTGGAGAAATGGGAAAGGAAGGTAAATTGAGATTTGTAATCCCCCCCCCCCGTGTTTAATTTTAAATGTACAGAAGGCTATTTCAAATGACTGTTTATAAATTTAACATTTAAGAATTTGTGATGACCTGCTGGCTTTATATAATGCTACTGCCTTTTAAAATAAGATGGGAGATAAAGTAGTTTGCGACAACATGTTCAATTTATTTGTAATTGCTGAGAAAAGAATTACTTCCTCCCACCAAGTGTAAAATGATAGTAGGGAGAGTAAGGTATAAGATAACATATGGGAAATGGGATGATCAAAGCTGATTATTCAAGAGTTCTGTTTGTGTCTAGCCTAGTACAGGACTTTTTAAAAAACAGCGTGGTGATTAATATAAATGCATAATGCATGCCTGGTCAAGTAAGATGAGATTCTGACTCCATTATTGTAACTGGACTGTTTTGTGCATAATGGTAAGCTACGGCTTAGTTTATTTGCTTTTGCTTTGACATTATATGTGAATTTACCCATTATCGATTAGCATTATCTGTGAACCAAGATATTAGGATTGTTCAAACCATGGTTAAAAATATACAAGGTGAACTTAGCCTGTGATTATGGCTTAGCATGTTGCATGGTCCCAGCCTGTTGCTTATTTATCAAATCATATTAAATAAAATCATGATCTGAACTAGTCACTGTCTGGCTTAACCAGAGAAGTTGTAAGACCTGGCTGCATTCATACAGTGTACTAAAGGTGATTAGCTTCAACCTGGGTTATTTTTGTATGGCTTACAATGTTGTGTGAACCTAGACCATTTGGTTAATTTTTTTTTCGGTGTATGATGTAAATCTAAAAAATGAGCTTATCTGCTAACCATGTTAAATGTGTTACTGCATGTGAAAATAGTAAACATTTGGAAATAATTTCTACCTTCAGTTTCTCTCTGTCACCTTCAGAATTAGAAATTTGTGAATGAAAAATCCAGAAGGTTAAAAACAGAACAGTCAATATGTGAAATTATGGGAGAGGGACAACACTAATACTTACTGGGAACTGAATTTTACTTATTTATTTATAACTGTTCTATGCCACTCAATTCCAATTGGCTCTGAGTAGCATAGAGCATATGTGTGCTACCCCCCCAAATTTTATATCAACCTTTAAAGGTTAGTACAAAGAGCAAAAATTCTGCCTCTGAGCCTCATGGTAGAATATAGTTTTGGACCTCAGTCTCTGTAATCTGCATTAACTTCATAATGTTCAGTGTAACTTCCACTTTTGAATGTGAAATTGATTGATTTAAATTTCTCTCTACACAGCAATAAGTCCCTTGGTTTATATCAACTGTATGTTTACAGCAGGTGAGAGGCATTTAGCAACAACTACTGTGATGTCACAGTACGTTTAGGCAGCCAGGGATATTCCGTTCACTTTGGCTGGGTGATGTGGCTTGTTGTGTGATAGTGTACCTTCAACACCCAGAGAATTTGGTGATAATCCAAGGAGGTTTTTGCAACTTTATTTATTTATAAATCAAATTTATATGCCGCCCATCTCACTATCAGTGACTCTAGGCAGCTCACAAGTAAAAGACATAAACACATTTCAAAACTACAAAGTGCAATTAAAAGACTACAGACAAAGTTAAAAGACACAGAGCATCCTCAAGGCTCCAGCCGCCCCAGTGGCTTTTATTTATTTATCTAGTTCAATTCTTCTCCATCAAGCAGACTAAAGCTATATGTTAATTTTGTTGTACTGGTTTAGAACATGAGGGCAATTTCCTTCCTTGCATACCTAGTTTTGGTATTATATTGCTTTGCATAGTTTCCATTATCACAAAGTGACAGCAAAAGCTTCAGTTGCTTTCTTGCTGGACTTCCTGCTTTGTGCTTTTCAATTTTACTTTGAATTTCGCTCAGGTTTGATTGCAAATAGGCACTCTCTCTCATGAAATAAACTGTTTTTGAAACTAAATATCATTTGAAAGAGCAACTAATGGCCTGCAACTGTAAGACATTTTGTTCAAGAATAAACCAATGAAAAATATATTGGCTTAATCAGTAGTTGCTTTAGGTGTGTAAGACTTATGTGCATCTGCTCATTGTTGTATACAAAAGTGAATTCATACTAAGAAAGTGTACACCTTCCGAGATGTAGGCTGTGTCTCGTTTGGAGCAGCACTGCCTGCTTTGTGCAAAAAGTTCTTTTTTAGAAAAAAAATCTCAAACAATTGAAATCAACTTCAAGTGCTAACCATTTCACATATGGAGAGCTTATATTTTAAAATAGTGCATTTCAATAGATGCTTATAGCCATGTTTGCCCCTTCATGCTGTTTTGATATGCACCACTGAATTTATCGGCAATAATAACACCAATAAAAAGTATGTGTGTGTGCATTTTTTTTGTTAGAATATGTTTGACTTAAATCACCTTTTCACATCCATATTTACTAGAGATCTGTTCCAAATTCAGATTGAGTTCATACACAAAACCATAATATGGTTAGTTTGATTTTGATTTTGTAGATTATATAAACCCAACCACTGTTATCTGCAGAGAATGGTTTATGTCTTAGTATGTTGTATGTACTCAGCAATTGTAGCTTATTCAGTAAACAATGGTTAATTGAACTCATGGCTCAATGCAGCTTTCCCCACTTGGTACTCCCCAGATGTATTGGAACTGCAACTCTAAGAATTACCAGCTGGCTTGGGGAATTCTGGGAGTTGAAGTCCACACATCTTAAAGTTGCCAAGTTTGAAAAATACTGATCTAGAGGATACCAGGTTGGGGAAAAGTAATTTAATGTGATGCATGAACCCAATCTGAAACTGCAGATATATGCACGCTTGCTCTGGAACTGTCCTAATTGAATTTGGTGAAGTCTACTTTCAAGGAAATTTCATAGGATTGTAATATTTTACTTCCAAAGATTGTTCTATGCATGGCTATTTAGGAATAAACCCCACTGAAAGTATGTATCTATATGGTTACATATTCATAGTACCATTTGTGGTACTACATGTACCATTTGTAAAAACATACTTTAAACCATTTCAGATGGTTTAAACAAAGCATACTTTAACCATTTCAGATGTTAGCTGGAACTTAAACACACAGCTTCATAGTCCCCTTACCTGCTTTTTGGTGAAGAATTTAGCTCCTTGGGAAACTGTTTTTGTTTTTATTCTTTTAAAGCAACATTTCTAACTCTAATGGCTATAAAGTTAGGTACACAATGCTGTATGGGCAATTGCCTGCTAAAATTTCAGAAGCTGGAAGAGGTTCCCATCCTCTCAAATAGCCTTACTACCCACAAATGCAAAATTCTGTTGCAAATCTTTGATGACCTTTAAATGCAACAGCAACAGAAAAAAAACTGTTTTGAGAGTTAGATGCTTAGGAGAGAAGAATTAGAACAGCATCTCTAATGCCTGTCTTCTCTCTATTTCTGGAGAAAATCTGATCTATAGAGTCACTAAGAGTTGACATCAGCTTGATGGCACATTAGCAATAATCAGTGCCCTCTCTACAGTCACAAAAGCAGCAACCTGCAATATTCCGAACTTCTGTATTTAGAATCCACCACAGGCAAGTAATTCTGAGAGAGTTTGGAACAGAGGAATCATGGATAAGGAAGGGTCATTCATTTCTCTTTCACTGCTCCCAGTTCCCTGCTGTTGTTTCCTTTTATTAAACAAGAAAGGCAGAAAAACAAGTAACAGCCACAGAGACATCTGTGGCACTAACATTTTTGTATTATTCATTGGTGTTGGTGATTCACATACTTCTCCCAGTAACTAGCAAAACTGGAATAGATTTTACAAAAGCAAGACAAAGGAAGGTTCTGAACAGAATGGACAAGTGTTTTGATTAATACAATTCATATAGGGTACTGAATTTTAACACTTATTGAGATAACTGTTGTGGTACCTTGAAGGGATATCTTTATTTGGTTGCCAGCTTAAACTGCACGTAGATTGATTTAGTATCTTCCAAAGAGAAGCTCATCAAGGAATGGGTATTATGCACAGGTTTAAAGCAGGAGTGAGGAATTTGTGGTTGGCTGGGTGTTGCTGACGTATAGCACTCAGCAGGGTCAACTATTGTGGCTAAGGAAGAGGACACAAGACGTGATGATCCAATAACATCTGCAGGACCATAGGTTCCCCATCTCTGATATGTACAGTATCTGAGCTTTCCCGTGCTCCAACCTTCTTCACAGATTAGTGGAAGGAGGAAAACATGGAAGCACAATTCCCTTCCCAGAGCTCCTTTTCAGCATTTCAAAAATAATGCCTGGAGTGGCTTCCAGTTTAGGATTTTATTAATCTGAATGCTCTAGCTTGTTAATGACACGGACCTATAGCAGGAAAAGTTTCCTTAACAATTGTTCCCTTTGCCCAAGTTTTTAGGTATGCAGTGCTGAATTTAGAAGCATTTGAATGCTGTGAATATTTCCTAAGCGACCAGAGGTGGTAAGTCCCAGTTACTAATTAGGACTTTTATCTTCTGTGGCAACTCTGTGTTGCATGTGCACCCTGTATTCTTCTGAAGCCAGGCTCCATATATGAACCATTCCTGGTATTTTTATTTTACTTTGTTTTTCTGTCTGTTTTGAAATCCCCATCACCCTATATAGAAATCCTAGCTACCTCGAGATTATTTCTTCAATGCAGGGGGTAAGTCATAATCATTTTACCACATATGAAGTTTTAACAACAATAAACAAATCCACATGCTTGAATTTTTTAAATCTGTTCTGAGTATCTGGGACAATGCAGAAGAGTATGAGCCTTATCCTGCACAAACCAAACAAATGGAAGTGAAATCTGCCACATCATGTGTGTGGAACATTCCTTGTTCAGGTATCCAGGATCTCCATTTCAGCCCCCCTTTTTCAGGTTTACATCCTTCCTAAACATGTTCAGTCCTAATGAGTTATTTTTATTGTATCCTTCCCCATCCCTGCAAGTTATTTTTCCCCACAAACATTTTGGACTTCTTCAAACCTTGAGGTTCTTCCAAGTCTACTGATACCACCACCACCACCTCCTCCCCCCCCCCCCCCCCCCCCCCCCCCCCCCC